TTCAAGTTTACTACAGTTATCAATTGAAATAACAACAAAAAACAAAATCAATTATGTTGAAAATTGGTTTTGCTTAAAAATTGTGAACATCCAAAATAGTACCTAACTACCTAAGTGACAACTAAGTATAATTTTTTAACCAGAAACTGAAAAAAAATCGAAGCATTTTTACTTCTCAAAAAGCTAATGATTGCAATCATAAGAAAAATAAAAACACGAATCATTGTTAAACCAATACGTTCATCGCTCCGTTCACAATCTAAAATAATTATAATAGCAATAATATTATATTTCTAGTTGTAACTTTTTTAAATTAAATTCCAGTATTCCATATTTTGCAATAAATATAAAAGTAGGTAATAATTTACTGTTCAAATTTTTCTGTCATTTTTGTAACATTATTATTCTAAATGTACCTAGGTATGCTCTATAATATTATACTATTTTCAACGTATTTCTCTTTACAGTTGAATGTCCTAAAAAACTCAACTTTGTTCACAGAAAAACTTTGAGATCGTCACGATGCCACCTTGACGAGGGTGGAATAATTCAACACGTAGGTTTCGCGCACGCACATGCCCCGCAGTACATGAGTATTGATTTTTCCACATAGCCTTACAGTATAATATACAATATAAATGTATATGTGTGTCGTAAGCCATGCGTCGTAAGCCATGCGCAGTACGTAAAGGGGGTCTACAAGCTCATAAATCAACCAAGAGGGTGGTGGCGGCGGCGCGCCGGCGTACCGGATGAATGTGGTACATACAGGGTGTTTTCGTCCCGGTTTGTAACCAGCCCGTTTACTGCATTATACAGGGTATCTCGCCAGTCATCAGGTGTTCCTTCTACATAGGAGGTAAACTGAGGTGTGTTTACAGGAAAGGGTGTAGCGTAAGGTGTACAACCCGCCACTGAAAATCTAGCCACCAGTGATTTTAAACCTTGTTGATAGTATTTATTTGTGTATGCAATTTTTTTATGTAGAATTTATGACTATATTTTTATTTTAGATTTGTTTATAAATACATATAAAAGTCAGATAACCATAGTGTATTACATGTTTACATGTTATGGTTCTATAAAACAGAACACTTAAATAGGGGAGTGATTGATGTCGTAATATATAATACCTTCTCAACATAATTGGGTACCTACGTAATAGTGGTAAGAGATGAGAATGTATTTATACATTTCTGAACTTACATACACACTGAGGTATATATATTATACTTGTATTTTGTAAATTTTTTTGTATTTTAGATTTAGAAAACTAGAAAAAAACATAATTACTAAATTTATCCATTAATTTTACTTTAAGCGTGATTTTGAAAATTATTTACGGTAACAATTATACTTAGGTATCGATGTATTGTTATAGCGTATTTTCATTGACTACCTAGGTATATTTATTGTAATTTGTGATATTATATATGTTGGGAAATGTATAACATTAATTACAAACTTATAATGTCTACATTATGATGGCATAAAATTAAGAGGATGTTCGTGTATTGTATTGTCTCCTTTACGTTTATTTTTTAAGTTTGGTAATTACCAATTTTTATTTACTTTACTTGTTCATAAAAAATGTCTAGTTTTATATTTGTTAGTATATTTTGTTGATTATAATATAATTTTTCCATACATTTTTAAATAAACATGTTTTACCAACTACCAGTGGCGGATCCAGGGGATGGCAAAGGGGGCATTCCCCCCTCAATCGCCGTAGTTTCCTTTCGTTTTACACTGTGTTTAGCCAATTTTGTAGCAAATGTATGTACTTTTTGTACTTTTGCCTCCTCCATGCCCCTCAAAAATTAATCCTTGGAACCACCACTGCCAACTACAAACGCGGCTTTTTATCAATTTACGGTTATAATCTATTATAAATTTATAACTTTCTAAAATATAATAAATTGTATAATATTTAAGAGGACGCCACACCCGCATGTGTTGTCTCCGTCTTACAAATGTACAACATAGCAAATACTCTTTTGCGAGGGACAACTTTTCTCGCACCATATTTGTTGTAGAACTACCAAATTTTCACAGCACTTAAAGAAGAACTTTATCTGTGCATCAAAGTGCTTTTTTTTCAATAACATATATACAATACAAGTTATTTGCTTCTAAACATTTGGTTTTTTAATTTGCTTATAAAAAATGATTGGATGGTGCTATTGAAAAAAAGAGCACGCTGTTGCACGGATAAAGTTCTTCTTTAAGTGCTGTGAAAATTTGGTAGTTCTACAACAAATATGGTGCGAGAAAAGTTGTCCCTCATAAAAGAGTTTTTGCTATGTTGTACATTTGTAAGACGGAGACAACACATGCGGGTGTGGCGTCCTCTTAAGTGCTAGAGTAGTTACGGAGCCCGTGAACTACAAAGTAATTGAATTATTAAAAAATAAAAAAATAAAAAAGTAATTAAAAAATACGTTTCTTGATTTTTAACATGCAATTTTTTTATAACAATTTCAAATTTTTTAAACACACAGGTGTACCTTTAGCAAAATCAACTTTTTTTTCAAACGGCAACCACTATATTTTTTAATGGATTCTTATAAAGCTTTTTTTTCTGAAAATGTGGATAGTCCAACCATCAATTTTGGCTCTCTAGTTTATTAACTATGGTCCTCTAAAGATTACTAAAATATGCATTAATATTTTTAATTGAAATAATTGGTATACCTAGGTTTAATTTACAAGCTCTAAACAATTTTTTCTTATTACTACCTTTTGATACACTTCAATAGTTGAATCAGTAATCTAATGACACGCTCAGAAAAAAAAATAACATAAGCAAAATTATTGGCAACATAGTTCATTATTTTTATTTGAACATAATATACGATCATAAAAATCAATATTATTATTTTAATTTATTATTATAATTGTAATTAATTACATCACATTTTTTTCATCACTGTTACTTTTTTTACAATATTATAAATTTGATTTATTTATTAAGTAGGTGGCTAAGGTAATAATGGTAAATTGGTAAATGGTTAAATAAATAAAGTCGATATTAATATACTTAATATTTATGTATTTACCTTTAATATGAGTTAATTACAGATTTTTATAATAATCAAATACCATTATTACCTTAGCCACCTACCTAATAAAGAATTCAAATTTATGATATTGTAAGAAAAGTAACTGTGATGAAAAAATGTAACGTAATTAATTACGATTATAATAAAAATTATAATATTTATTTTTATGATCGTATATGATATAAAAAGTACCGGCCAAGTGCGAGTCGGACTCGCCGTCCCTTACTGTCATCTATAAACATGTTGGCAAAACTGCTAATACTAAATATTTTAGGATTTTTAGTATTTGTTGTTATAGCAGCCACAGAAATACATAATCTGTGAAAATTTCAACTTTCTAACTTTCATGATTCATGAGATACAGCCTGGTGACAGACAGACGGACGGACGGACGGACAGACAGCCGCTGCCTTAGTAATAGGCTTTCGTTTTACAGTACAGAACAATAAAAAATATGAAATATGTTTGCCAATAATTTTGTTTGTGTTATATTTTTATTTCTGTGCGTGTCATTAGATTACAGATTCAACTATTAAAGTGTATCAAAAGGTAGTAATAAGAAAAAATTGTTTAGCGCTTGTAAATTAAACCTATACCAATTATTTCAATTAAAATTATTGATGCACATTTTACTAATCTTTAGAGGACTACAGTCAATAAACTAGAGAGCCAAAATTGTTGATTCGACTATCAACATTTTCAGAAAAAAAAACCTTTATAAGAATCCGTTAAAATATATAGTGGTTGCAGTTAGAAAAAGAAAGTTGATTTTGCTATTGGTACACCTGGGTGTTTAAAAATTTAAAAATTGTTATAAAAAAATTGCCTATTCAAAATAAAGAAACACGCCTTTTTTCGTTTTAACGAAATTTCATATCATCGTTCCATAATCGTTAAATTACATAAGATACACTCGGTACATTATGATACAGGTAACCGCCCGTGTTCGCTAAATGTGTGTATTATATTGTATGACTTGGCTAAAAAATATTTGAGACATATCAGTTTGAACAAGACTATAGGCGAAGACGACGACTCCCGTTTCCTTAGCGACGTGAAATAGGACCATTATTGATCTGCCCGGGACACTTTGCTGTCGCGGCAGTATTGCGACGTAGCATCCAAATATTTATGCGACACCCGTAAACTTGAAAATCAATAACGGTCTGCCATCACCTCACCACCTATCTGACCTATGGATGGGTGTCGCCGTGTCGGGTGTGGCCCCATGCCATATAGAGTTGTAGATCAAGACGTGGCTATATACTTGAATACGATTATTATTATCATTATTATTTCATAATATTATGTACTCGTATTGGGAAGACAGATTAACACTGGAAGCGCTGTTGCGCTTGTCGTACTGAAGGTTAGGCACGCAGGTGGGTTCCCGCTACGCGGAGACCGTATACCATAATTATCAACTTGTATGTATTTTCCGGACATTTCGTTGTGAAGTTGTGAATTGTAAGTTTGTACAACTGTACGTCGACGTGCAGGGAATATCGTTCCACAGCATCTAGCCCACACTGGTGCTGATTTTGTTTGTCAAGGAGGTGTATTACCAACCCCCCGAATTAATCAATAATAATAATAAAATAATTCACATAGTTTTCAAGTGAACCAATGAGCGTAGGTTATGCGTGTACGGTTCTGGCCGGGACACTATAATACGGCATAATAAGACGCTCCCGTGTTCTGAAAGCTCATCCCTCGACTACTGTAGTTAGTTCAAGCGACGTAGGCTCAGTCCACCACTAGTTGCTGTAGCAGTGCAGCTTTGTGTTCGTCTGTTATCAAAATAACTTATCGTTGTTATTATTTCGTATTCGTATTTACACAGTCGGCCGTGCAATTATATATCTTATATTATAACTACGTAATCCGTACAGTGAGCCTGTCTTTTTGAATATAAAATATAATCTTTCTTTCGCCGATATGGAATCGTCCGAAAGCCCGGATTCGAACGACGTGACAACTATTAGCCACGACACAGGTGCTTCGGAAATCGCGAACCAAGTCGAAAGCAGCCCGACGATATATAGCCACGGTCAGGCAAGTTTTTCGGGAAACGATCAGGCGATGGCTGCCCAACCACGACATGGCAATGTCAATGAGCAACAACTACAATCCGAGGACGTCGGCGAGCAGCAATCCGAGAGCGGTGCTGCCATGAATCCCGGCTCAAACAGAGAAGCGTTGCCAAATCAAATCGCAAATGTGCCAAATTACAACATGAACCAGCAACATGAACAGTTGTTGAACAATTATCGCAATCCACAGCTACCGATGAATGAACAAAATGGCCAATATGATCAACCGCCCCAGGTAAGGCCACGTCGGCCACCGTGGTACTCTAGAAGGGGAAGGTATCCAATCCGACAAAGATTTCCACATTTCCACTTAACCTTTGGAAACCAAGACTGGACGTTCAATGATTTTAGTGGACGAGTGCCAATGAGAGATCGCCCACTGCCATCGTTGAGACATCGCCAACGGCACCCGGTAAATATATGCCATCGGCTAACGATGAATGAACGCCATCCAACAAATGAACCCCAACGGAATGGTGAGCAAAATCAACCGACCCAGGCAAGGCCAAATCCTCCGCCATTAATATCAAGAATAGAGATTGAGCCTGGGATTTTCGAGGAAATTTACTCGCACAGAAGTTATCAAATAGACAGGCCCAGAATTTTCGGCGCCGAAAGATGTGCCGTAAGTATAATAGTATAATCATAATATACCTAGAGTAGGTAGGTACTTATTTTACCATATTCCTGTATAAATATTTTAATTCAAAGATTATTATTTTCACTTTCCCATGCTATGTACATTTCAGAATTCTATATAAGTGCTTCGCCCATACCTAAATAAATTATAATTATCGAAATTTAAATATCCTTGTTAAATTAGTACTATTAGCTACCTTTGATATTATAACAGGACCCGTAAATACGTAAACAAATGGTATCTTATCATTTTGTCTCCATAATAGTATCTTATCATTTAATAAATTAAAAACAACTATTCCGTTGTTGTCTTAAGAATATTTAAAATCCCTTTAATTGTATTGGAGCATACAATTTTAAAGTTTTAAACGTTATGGTAATGACGTAGGCTTCAAAGTCATTTTTTTGGGGCTCTCCTTAAAGGTCATATTATATTATTATCTAGTAAATATATTTAAAAAACAACAATAAGGTGGTGGGTGATGGCAGCAGTCGGTCGTAATTTAATACATTATATTAATCTGTAATGTAATAACATTTTTTTTTTATAATATCAAAATATATAAATGATACTTTTTTCTTTTTTCTTTTGGCTCTCCTCGATGTTTATAGAAATGTGTAAATTGGCCCACCAACTACAAAGGGTTAGATCATCCTGATATAAATTATTTTGAGTTATAAATTATAACCCTGCCTACATTTCTGTAAATTACGTTTTACATTTTTAGGCCAAATCGGCATCTATGTTATTATTATAAGACTTGTACTTTAATTAACAATTATGTTATCATTTTTTATTTTATAACATTATTGGCAATTATAAGACTTATAATATTAAATATTTACTTATTTTTTAAGATGTTTTTATATTATTACAGGAAGACCTGACAGATGGAATAACTTTTTTTCTAATTAATATTTTTAATTTTTTTTTTTTTAAATAAAATTTGAAGCTAGTTGCGGTAAACGTATACCTAATAAAAAAAAAATTATTTATAATTCTTAATAATGAAAATAATAAATATTAAATTTGATTAGAATTTTTTTCACATAAATTCCATAAAGCCAATTTGTGAATCTGATTATAAGAACAATTTTGATAGTAAAAACAAAATTTATATAAGCCAAGTACCTAATTTATTTTTTAGAAATTTTTAAAATATCAATATTTGTTTGATTAAATTTATTTGGAACGTAACTAATAACTTTTTTCAAAATATTATTTTTGGGAATTTTTTGATATGAGTATATTAAATTTTTTAACCGTATAATTTTAAAAATTGTTGTCGTACGTTTTAATAATCTTGTATATGTATCAGTTACAAAATATATTTGTTAAATTAAGAAAATAGTCTATTACATATTTCTAATATTTAAAATAATGCCCTTAGTTGGTTTATGTGTATGTTAATATAGGCTTTTCATAAGAAAAACATCAATGCCCCAAGTTGACAATATTCAGTGTAACATAATGAGCATAATAAGTAGAAAAAAAAAGATAGAAGGAATAATTTGTATGGTACAATAATTCAATTGCAACATAAATTAATAAACCAAAATTTAGTCTTGAAAATAAACCCTGATTCATTAGTTTTAATGTTATTTACAGTGTAATTTCAAAGTTGGCACATTTGACGTTACTTTACCGTTAACTTTTCTTCTATATATATATATATATATATATATATAAACGAATGTATGTGTGTGTGTGTGTGTGTCCATATTTCCATGGTAACCAGTTATATATTATTTTGTAATTTTCGATGGAATGTTTTGTATATAAATACAAATAGAGTTGGCAATTTTAATGGGCAACGAAGTGCACGGGATCAGATATTTCTATATATATAATTTATATTTTATAGATAGATTAGACCTCTGGGTAGAAGATAGGCTAATATAAAAATTGAGAGGACCAACCACGGTAGGTGCTCAAACAGGGATTTTGATATTTCCTATTATGGACATTTTTGTTTATAAATGGTTACCATGGGTTTTGAAGCTATTATAATAATATTTATTGGTTGCCGGGTAACGAAGTACATGGGATCATTTGTAACAGAGATAGGTTAGCTCTCTGGGCAAAAGATAGGCTAATTCAAAAGGGGAGTATACCAACTACCGGGACGTGCTCAAACAGGGATTTTGAGATTTCCGATGGAAATGTTTGTTTATAAATGGTTGCCGTGGGTTTCAAAGCTATAATAATAATGATTATTGGTTTAAAATTGTTGTTATGGTAACCGTTATATTATAAGAAAAACATATTATTTATAAAATAGCGTTGGTATTTTTAATGGGCAACGAAGTGTACGGGATCAGCTAGTTATTTATAATATAAAATATATTGCCTAAATATGGGTAGTTTTAGGAATTTATATATTTCTTCATAATTTCTAAGATACCAAAGACAGAATATTTTCAAAACATTTATTATTTTTATTTTTAAGTGTCAGTGTTTCTTTCAAAGTAGGAATTATTAATTTAAAACTCAAATATTTCCTACAGTAAGTAATTCCCAGCCAAAGTATACTCTGCCCAGAATCCTGTGGGCAATGTGAATTGAAGTGAATATTAGGATATTAGGTATTAAAATAATAATGGACATACTTCACATGTTGGACATCAGTGCTAATTAACTTAATGAGGTTATTGTGGTTTCTGATTTAATAGTATGTGTTTGATAAGCAACATCCCAAAAGACAATAGGTACAAATATACCAAAAGAAGCAGTAGTTTTAACAGAGCTTTATAAACAATTTATGTAAGATAAACATTAATGCATTAATACATTTCTAAGAGATTTCAAAATATAATAGAATTAATTGCTGACCTAGTTCTAAATTTGGTAGGTTAGATTAGGTATGATCAACAGAATCAACTAACACAATTTTTATTCAACATATTTTCAGTTTTTGCTAAGAAAAACCCTATTATAGTATTGTTTTGAATCAAGTGTAATAAAAAAAATTTAACTGTCTATGGATATAATCATATATTTATGGGTGTATGTGAATTATTACATTATTAAAGATAGGTAATCGATTGTAAAAAGTCTTCAAGTAAAAGTGCATATTACTAAGCATTTTAATGCTGATTTTGTAATTATTTAATTTTTTTTTACTAATTGGTAATGATTGTGTTTTATTTTCAGTGTCGAAATTATGTCAATTACAATCGTGGGAATAATGAGATGATAACAGTGATTATGAATAGTCCAAATTTACATATGCGATTTAGTATGACTACGAGCCGTGAAACACAATTTACAGACCTGTTTAGAGCTTATTTTGGATTTACAGTAAGTGTTCTAAGGGCTAAGAACAAACTTTCAATACAATTTGTGTATTCTTGTCGTATGCCACCTACCGCACGTTCCTACATGTCATATGAGGTCTATAACATACTTTTTATGTGTAATTAATTTATAGTAGAATTATAGTATATTTTATTTAATGATACATAATATTTATAGTAATTAAATAAAACAATACACTTCACAATCTAATCCTAAATTAAGTTAAGTGAGGTACAAAAAAAATTACATTTGGTATTGCTATGGTCTATAATCTATATGATATTTTTTTTAAATATTTGAAGACCCTATTTGAAATAAAAACCTATTCATGTATTGTAAGAATTATTGATACTCTTAATAATCGGTCTACACAATTTTAAATTATAAAGCGAGATATTAGTTTATGAAATATCACAATAAAAAAATGTTTGTGTTGCTTTTAAATTAAAATATGTATTAAAAACAACAGATAATGCTTAATAATAGGTTAATTTACTTTAATGTTAAAAATAACAATACAAAATTAGAACTTCTAATTACCAATTTCTGAAGTTGTGCATTTGTATGCCAAAGATAACATTGTAAGTGTAAAATATAAAAATAATAACAACTTAAACTGTCCATCACAAGGAAAAAATCCTGTTAGTCAAATTTTGAAAATATCCCATTTTATGTTGCCCTATATTATGTGTACCTGGTTGTGAACGTGTAGTGATTGAACACTTTAATGGAATTTTAAAATTAGTGAATTTGTTCTTTGGGAAGACATATTTTTGTAAATATTTGATATAATTATTAATTTTTAAAAATGTTTTGTTTCTAGAAAGAACCTCATAATACAGTCTTTGTCGCATGTGGTCAAAGGTTACTTCGAGAACATACTCCAAGAGATATCGGAATGAAAAACCGTGAGAACATATATGCCTTCGTCATTACTGAAGGAGATTTAAAAAAAAACAACAATAGTTCAAAATAATATCTCCATGTCATATAAGTAATACATATTATATTATACAAGACGTATAAATATAATTGCCTGATAAATAAACCTCAAATGCTCAAACCGATATCACTCAATTTTTTTTTATTATTATTACCACGAAGTTCATGGTTTATAAAAATAAAATATGATAGTATTAAATTATTTGTTTATTATTCAGTTCCAAATCATAGGGTTCTTATAAAATATTTCCTCAAAACTTTAATTAAATTTTCATGTCAATTACATAATAAATAAATTATTAAAAAAAATTTGGGCTTATTTTAAACTAGGTATATGTAAAGTTTTTTTGCTATAAGTCAAATCTTAACATTCTGTATTTCTCATATATAGTTTCTTAAACTGTAAATATTTGTATAAATTATTACATAATATAATTACATTATATTATAAATTGTCCTGAAATTCTCAAAATGATTAAATGTTAAAATGAACTAATCTAATTCCAGAAATAAATAAATGTTTAGTCTTTCACCCATTTTCTCAAAATATATGCTATACATTCTTGCAAATGTGCTTGGGTCTGCAGATAATTCATTTAAAGATTTAAATTTATTTCATACTACCCTGTTTAATTTGTCAAATATAATAATACATTGCCGATCAATTAATTTTAAATCCGCTGTCACTGTACACATATTTAATAAGGAATAATATGAAATATATTATTAATAGGACATATAAGTCACATGTAATATCTTCTTTTGATTTTATACAAAGTGAATTTATGGAACACCAATTTATAGATAACACTTTATACATAATTTTATAAGAGAAACATAATTTTTGTTCAGATAATATTAAACCCTTTTGCTAAAAATAACTAGCTGATGAAAGCCCACTGCCAATCACTTTCAGTAGACGTTGAGTGACTTACAAAATCCCATTGGTTGTTGTTGAACAAAACATTTTGTTGATATAAAATTAAATGTTCTTAATTTTTTTCTTTTAAATATTTAATTACTTATGAATTTATTTTGTATAGTACACAGTACAAAATAAAAAAAGTTATCTTTTATTCTCAAAATGAATGGGCCTACTGAAAAATACATTTATACATGTTGTGTAGAGTATTTGTTTCCCAGGAAGGAAAATGTATTTACATACCTAGAGCACCCCTTTCTGGATCGGAGCCTGAATGTATTCAAACTGTTTTATCTATATATATTATATGAAACAGTTTAAATATATTATAATTTGTAACATTATATTTTATAATAGTGACAATTTCTTTAATTTCCAGAAATCAATTACAATTACAATAAAATAAAATTACAATATGTGAATTATAATAAGTATTATACAGGCTGTATCATAAACACGGACAAAAACTATTTAGAGATTTAACTATAAAAACTGATAAAAAAAAGGAAATGTTATAACACACAGGCAAACCCGGGTTATTCAGCTTGGTAGCCGTATATAGTATGTACATATATAACCATATTATTATATGATTTATTTAAAAATTTTATCTTTTCCTGACATCCATAAATATTTTAAAATGATTCTTAGGGTGTTTCTTTAATTACCAATTACTAGGAACTCGTAACTGAATTAATTTAAACTAAAATTTTTTTACATTACCTATCTTAGTATTTTTACTAGTAAGGTTTAAATCTTATGCATTGTTTAATATCATTGAATGTATAATATAATTAATTTAAATATTAGTCTTACTTATGTACTTATAATATTCATATTATTAGGATATCTGAAATTATTTGGTAACATTATACTTTTACATTATTTTTTAAGTAGGTAGGTATTTAAACTTAGATAGGTAATCAACTATCATGATAGTTTATACAACAGTCGACTTTAAACTGTTACATAATACGACAAACATTAGTACAGTGGTTTCTCATAGACTTTTGCACTATGTACAGAATTTCTGTAAATACTTGAAAGTTGAAATGTAAAACTGTTCATTAGTAATTTGTTCTATGGTAAATCAATTTTTGATTCCAAAGTTATTTGAAAATTTAAATACATGCTAACAAACAAAATAGTTGGTAGCTTAAATATTACATTACATAATATTACCTATATACCTTTTAAAACATTTAAATTAATCATTGCATGTTATTTTATCTGACTAAGCCTTATCATAATCTCATGTCTTGATTATTTTAACATTGTTACATTAAAATATATAATACATTTTAATGATATTAATATATTATATCGATTAAACATGACTTTGTTTTATTTAATAAGACTTTTATTTTATTTATTTCAATTTAAAAACAATATATCAGGTTAAAAATAAGTCTATGCAGAGATTTTTATTAAAAAGTGCCTAATTTCTCCTTGATTGAAATTCAATTTACTGAATAATACCAATTTTCATTTTGATATACTTGATATTTTCTATGATTGTACCTGTTTCATTATTAAATATACTATTGTACCTTTTTAAAGTCATGTATTATATATTTCCAGATACAGATTAGAAGGCCAATTATGTAGAATAGAATGTAGATGTTTGCATATTTAATATAAAAATCTTTCAAATAACATATTTTGTCTCATTAATGCATAATCACTAATCACAAATTTAATAATATGCAGACTATAAAAATCTGTTTCAATAAGTGAGTGTTCATCCCAGTAGCCAGTGGCTAAGTACCAAGTTTAAACTGGTGATGGTACTTATGCTTGATGCCATTGCCTACTTTATATTTAGAAAATAAAACAAAAATGTATAGGTACTTATAATAATACATATAAGAATAATAATTGGCAGAAAAAATAACTGAAAGGGAAGCAATCCAATGAAAAGAACCCTAATAAGTACTAACAGAAGTTATTAATTATTTAGGTTTATATTTAATTACTAATTAGTTAATTTTTAAGAGATCACAGTACCTATCAATATCTCTTGATCCGCCTAACTAGGTTATCTAGTAGTGTTGTTGAAATTAATGTGTTAGGGCGAGGTGATCATATTTATGGGCATTTATATAGTTATATTTAAAATAATTTATGGTTAATTAATATTTAATAATAAATAATATAAATGTATAATTTATCTTTTGAGATTATATTAATGTTTATTTTTGCTTTTTGAGTTTATTTATCATTTTTTTTACAAAATGCAAATGTTGGTGAATGTTGAAATTCATCAAGCACCAAAATTTTACTAAACAGATAGATGTGGGATTATCGTTAACTTTTAAGTTAAAATAAAATAAGTTTACTTATCATGAAGCTAGAATTTACATCTATTAAAAAAAAGCGAACACGTTATATTGTATTGTTGTTAAAAATAGCTTAGCTTTTTATAACTTAACTTAAAGTCTTCAACTTTTCAACTTAATAATGCACGCCTTGCTCAAATTGCTTCAGTGACGCCCAATGATACTCGATTGTTTGATTTAGTATAAGTGTGTAAACAAATGCATAGGCGTAAAATTATTTAAGTGGTGGGAGGGCACTGAAGGGGCTATAGCAATAGATCTAGGTTCATGTTTTAGAAAATCAAGTTTTAGAATATAAAACTTTTAGAAAGACTGTTTCATAGAATACCTATTTATGAGTTTATGAGAGCTATTGCCTAAATAATAATCTATGGTATTAAAAATTATGATATAAAATTTCTTATTTTATTAATTTAATAGATAATAACAGTAGTATAGTTATATTTTTAATCTTGTCAAACTATATTGTAAACACACTTATAGTTTAACTGTAATATGTAATTTTAATTATTAATTGCAAATATTATACCTAATCTGTACAAAAAAAAAAATGTTGGTTAATAACCTTAACAGTTGAAGCCTGTAAACTATTAAGTGAAACAAAAAAAAATACAATATGTTTATTTATATTGCTAATATAATATACAAATATATTTTTTTTTTATAAATGAAACAATGATGATAACTACAATAATTATTGTATTATTGTATTATTTGTATATAAATAGCCTAGAACTAATACCATGGTTTTTTTTATATTAATAGCTGTCTCACCCGGCTTTGCCAGGGCCAAAGATTTGTTTTTTTTTTTATAAATTGTATATGTAAGAAAATGTATTACTATTTCTACTAATTATTATGATAGTTATAATATTATATTATATAATCAATGGAATACCTATAGATAAACAAAATAAAATTTGTTTTTTGTGAAATGGAAAAATGTATGTGTGAACTACTTTTTAGCTACCTACCAGTATACATTTAGATATAGTTATTGAAAAAATAAACTATAAACATCCTGCAATAGTCTCAAGAAATCTATTGGTAAAACTTTTATTAAAAACTGTAGTCCAGTAGTTTTTGAGTTGATTAGGTAACTTTGAGGTTAAAAATATAGTGACCAAGTGTCATAATTATTATACCTATCCTATCAAATTATTATATGTAACCTGTGGCAACCATTTATAATAAAAAAAAATACCTATTCGATTTCTGTTAGCTAAATCAAATTAAATAAAAAAAAAAACAGTCCAAGTGGGTGTTACTCTGCTGTACGGTACCCTGTTTACAGTGCAGTGGGTCACTATAATGGGTGGTGTTAAATTTTAATACAATGATATAAAACCATTGTATATAAACAACGATTCTGAGCGAAGAAAATTTTCATCAAATATTGTTTGACTTATTTTAAGTTATTCATGGACATTTAAAATTGTATAGTTTATTATTCTGTTAACAGTGTAAACGGTAATAATATTTTATTCGTTTGGTCAAAGAGCTTTAAAATTGAATACAAGGTCCGTTAAACTTTTTTATTAGTAGTTGATAATAATTCATTGGCACTATTTTTTTATAAGTATTTAAAGTTCAAATGCTGACAGCATTTATCAAAACCTCAAACATTTTCAAATTATTTTGTAGTTAAAAAGTTATAAAATGTAAAATTTTTATAGCTAAGAATTAAAAATTTAAAACAAGGATTCCCATAAATTGTTCATACTTTAACCAATAAAGCTAAAAAATATAATAACACAATTCTTTTTTACAGAA